CTTCAGTAGCAGAAGAAGCGATATGGTCCGATTAAAACATGAATATTTGATAATCGCGCGAAACAGTTCTTTAAACTAAAACAAAACAAATAAAAAAATGTATAATGTGGATAATTTTAGAAACAATTTTCAATTAAAAATAATATTACACTCTCTTTAAGATTAATCGAAGATCGTACTATTTGTTTAAATTTGTTTCACTTTGAGAAATTTTACCAAGAGAGGGATGTACAGAGGTTTGTTTGAGAGAAAAAAGTGCATGAGGTTTGGTTAAACAAACTTGTGAGTGTAGAATACTTATTGTAACTCGAACTTGGTTTTGTTCTAAATATACCTAAATAGTTTTATTATCTTCAAAACGACATTTTTGAAGAGACCCTAAAATTATTAAATTCTAGTAAATGACTATCGTGTTTTATCATAATTTATGGATTTTTTTATATTTTAACAGGAGCCCGTGAGTGTGAAGGAGGTAGGCTTAGCTCAAAGTCAAATAATTGAAATATCGTGGTAGGTTCTGTCAAAATATTAATAATATTGTAAGTTACAAGTGTGAGATAGCGAATTACACTTTATTTTGTTATGTTTTGTTTACCGTTCATTTAATTTATTTTCTGTCATTTAGTTCAACTGAATTTTTCATTATAACTTGTATTAAAGCGCTAACTCATCTACTGTAGTATTACTACTACTGAGTACTAGGGCATAGCGGGTTTCGGTGATTTTTAAATAATGAAAATAACTTAATAATTCATACACCATTGGATTCCACAATCAAGAATGAATAGATTTACACTGCAAGTTCAATTATGTACTTAATAATTAATGAAAAACAAATATCATACCTGTAAATCAACCTTTCACACCACACGACCTTCCCATTGGAATAATGTTAACAAATGTCAGTGATTGATATCAAATTATCACTTTACCTGGTAACCTGAGACTGTGTGAAACCTTTGTCAAGGCAAGATGAAATGTAGTTCCAATAAAATCCAACTATTTCAAATTTGTACACATGGATTCATATTATATAGATAAATGAAATGAAAATTGTCAACAATGTTAAAAATTAAATATGAGCTTACCTATGAACCTATAGGAGAGATTTTGTAATCACCATGATTGACAAATACATACCAGTAGTAACCTCCACCTGTTCTACATCATGTCATGATGTTATTGATACATCATTTATACCAATTTTACTATAGACTGTTGTAGTATATGTTATTTTGATCTAGCCACACTCAACGATTTGACGTATAGCAAACTGTTGCCAGAACAAAATATTGTCTTTTTACACCCAATGATATGATGTAAAGCAAGTTGTTGCCAAACCGTCGTATAGTCTGTTTGCAATCCCCATTCATCATTTATTGACATGCTGTTAGTTCAGTTTGAGCAGAGATATCTATGTATTAGTTTATGCTGTGTAATATGCCCCACAAAGTTAATTGTATGGCTTTGTTTCTACAAATTCAATGGCTAAAAAGAATTATAAATTGTTTTAAAGTTTTGTTTTAAAATATAAAATGCTTCTGGATCCAATGAAACCACCCAGAACAAAGTATAGCATGAGGAAAGCTATCATTTTATGTATCACTGACCTTTATTGGTCCAGCCAATTTGAACTGACACCTTGTTTTTGATTTTAACATCTGGTCACTGCCAAATGGTGAAAGAAAGGTTCAGTGATCATTGCATTCTTTTTTAAAGCTGATTTAATATAGCATAATGTTTTGGGACAACATGGGACGTATTGATCCATCTTGGCTGTTTCATCTTTTAAACTAAATTAAAATAATCTAAAAAAAATCTTACAGCCAGCCTTTATCAAGCTTTTTCTTAAACTCACTTAAATTTACTGCCTCTACAACATCCGAAGGCAACCCATTCCAAAGGCCAACCACCCTGAAAAATGAAACTGTATTAGCCG